TGTGTATATACATGATCAGGGTGGTGCATGAGTGTTTTTGGAGCTTCAGACACATTTCTTCTACTTTAATTTTCTACACACAGATTAATAATTGAAATGAACCTCCTTACAACAGTTTGCAGAATTAAATCCCAGATCGTTAGATGACTCTGAATTAAAAGCAAAGACCTTCAATGCTACTTTTTACTCAGTTTCCAAAGGGTGAGAGAGATTAAATCAGATCTCTGTGATGTATCAAAGACTAATAGCTCAGAAGACTACACTAATCCACAAAGTAAACTGAATCTCCAGGAACTGAATTACATCTGTGTTTTAGGTTTTTTTGATATTAGAAATCAGTTTTGTCCAGCCTGGAGAACCAGCAACTGTGGTCCCCAACACACACACACACACACACACACACACACACACACACCTACACAAATTACTACAAACTGTATGATGACACACAATCAGTAGTTTCCCTCTTTCTAACAAGCACTTCCATCACTCTTTGAGACCTTTGCAGTTTAGCAAACTTAATTTCTCAGAGAGCTACTTTGACAAAATGAAAGTGGCTGATAGCTACTCATGTCTTATATTACTAATTACCAGTTTTGGGAATGTAATAAGTTAAAGATTACTAGTTACCCTGTTAAAATAAGTATGTAATAAGTAAGGTATCTATTTTAATTACTTTATCAAAGTAACTTTTAATACTTTTAGTACTTTGAATTACTTCTCGATTGCTTCTCAGTTTAAAACTGGGCAGTAAAGCTGAAAAGTCCTAAAATAAATTTAAACCAACCAATGTAAACCTTACAACATTACTCTCAAACTTTTACTAAAGGTTCTTCAACATAACTTCAGCTACATATTACATTACCACTCAAACATGTATCCTACTGAATAGGTACCAAGCAAAACACTTTTCTGTTTTCAGAAAACTCATTTGAATTTCAAGCACTGAAAAGCGCTCTTGTCCAACAGCGTGACCATCGTCAGCTGGCCACAGGCAGACATGGAGGATTCAGCCTGCTTAGAGCAATGTGTGTTCATTTTATTGACAGATGAGAAGTGGTGCAAAGTCAAACAAGACATTCAATCAAAAGCCTATCTACATGATAGCTCCTTGTTAGCCATCCTACCCTTGATGGTTTTGCACATTTGTCCCAACAGCTTTGCTGACCCACGCTGTACAGAAATATGCCAAAAGAAGACATTCCTGCATATTAAAAAGATGCCAAGCTTCAAAATTAATGTGATAATCTAAGCTTTTTATCTAGAAGAATATATTCAGATGTAACCCCTTTGTAATCACCAGCATTTTGATTAGTAACTGTAATTTAATTATCTATGTTTTCTTGGTAACTGTAGATGATTACAATTACATGTTTGTACTTTAATTACAGTAACTCAGTGGTTCTCAAACATTTTTTGTCATTCCCCACTTGAGAGGGTGGGCAAATTTTCAAGCCCCACTTGTCAAAAAATTATAATGAAATTGGCCAATTTTAAAATTTCAAATTGATTGAAATGTCAAATAACACTAAGTTGAAAATGGATAAAATATAAGTGCAACTGTATCGTTTGACGGGGGAATAGTTTTCAGTTTTGCAGCACTTGTTTCATCCAGCATAATCGACACCATGTCTACAGTTACAGGAGGAATGAGCTGCTCAGCAATTGACTGGGATGTGTTGTTTCTAAATGTCTTCTTAATTTGTTGGGTCTCATGCTGTCTGCTGCCAGTGGTTTAATACACAAGACACACATGGGTCTCTCCTCTGCCCCCACCATTCCCACCGTGAATCCAAGCGCACGATAGGCTTCATCATATTTTCTTTTCAGCTGGCTTTTTGGTTAAAAAGGGTACTGCCTGTTGTTTCTTTGTCTGCTTGCGCTGAATTGCCTGCTTTTTTTTTTTTTTTTTGGTCCTTTTTAACAAATGTATCCATTTACATTATTATGCCCACTACGTACACCATTCTCTGTGAATGTTTCCTTATATTGTTGCGCTGCAGTTAACATGCCAACAGTAAACCGTTATTGTTGCACTATGGTCCCACTTTTTTCTCCCGGGCACAAACTGATGTTATTTTAATTTAATTGTATTAATGACCCATTTCTAATTTTCTCCATTCATTGTGCCCCACCTGTCATGTCTTTATTCCCCACTAGTGGGGCGTGCCCCACACTTTGAGAACCACGGCAGTAACTACGTACAGTACATGTAACTAGTTACTCCAACACTGCAAGAAAACGTTATTCAAATAATTTATGAAAACAAACTGATCCCAAAACCAAACTACTGTTTTGTGCAACAAATTAGTTATAAAATATCAGTATCCAATACTGACATTTTGTACATTAAATTCATCACTCTTCACTTCAGTGTGTCTGGTAAATCAGAGCCTTATTTTATAGTTCACATGGTATGTAAAGTAATTGACAAAGTTGGGTAAAAAAAGTGGGAATAGTTGGTTACTGTAGTTTTGGGCTGCTCATCAGCATGGTCAACAGTGAAGTAAATTAAGACAAGCTCATTAAAAACATTTACTCCCAAATGCTACAATTTGTGTCAAAAATGTGTTTTCAGTCAAATCTAACCATATATGATGGACATTTTCAGTGCACATCATAATATCAGATGTCAATTGCAAAGAAACAATGAATTCACTTAAAAATGGTAGAAGACCACTTATAGCTTCTAATGTACATACATGTTCTTAAGTATCAAAGTAATTCTTTGATAGTTGCTAACATCACTGCACGACATATTAACAGAAACAAACCTGACAGCAGCGCAACTCATTTGATTACCTTTTGGTAATTACAGAATGGCAGAATGCCTGTGTGTTTGGACTGCAGTTGGAGCAGGTTTGCTGAATGAAGTTGTGTTATGTAATGTTTGTAAGCATCCATCGTGTGTGCACACTGTATTGTGAGCTAATCAAAAACAGGGAACAAGTTACTGGTAGCTTGTGAGTGACATGTTGGAGACCCCTGCTTTATAATGACCTGACCCCAACTGTTCACACTGCTACCACTGCCACATTGGAGACCAGGGAGAGGCCACATCATGAACATGTTGAGTTCTATTAAAACAACTTCAACCCACTCTTAACAAATGTCCTGTTAAAAAAGACATGTTCTAGTTGAACTTCACGAGAGTTGACCAAACTGAAGGAATGTATAGCTTTCTCAGCCTATTCTCCACACGGGTGAGCTACTGTGACAGAACAAATTACAACCTGTATGCTTGATATATTTGGGATGGCAATTATGGTAATATTGTAGCTAAATTATTTACAAATGTGTGAAGAGGTGTGATCCTGTATCTCAACCTATGAGTGTGTACTCAGACTTGTAAATGTGTAAACAGATCTGTAATAATGCATTCAAATTTGTGAAAGTGTAAAGGAATCTGCAAATGTGTACTGAGACTTGTTAAGTGTACTAAGATGTACTGTATGTTGTAGAAATCAAAGTGGCTTTCAAATTGTCTTTGTGTGGTTTATGAAAGAGCCCATGGCATGCTTTTTGTTGTTTTTTGATTTATTTAAAATATTTCAACAGTGAATTATAATAATCACCTTTATTGGCCAAGTATGC